TTACTAGTAATCGTGTCGGCAAAGATATAGTGCTTTCTGTGGACGCCGGTATGCAGGGGATGGGGAAAGGTCCGAGTTGATGTATCAAGCCTACATTGAGGTTGACTTCGCACTGGGCTAATCGGGTCAGCTGAAGAAATTGCAGTAATAGCGGGAGCAAATATGTTGCTTCTGTCGGGTATGTGGAAAGTGGGAATGTCCGCGGCTTCATTCCCAAATCCACGAAAAAGGGATTGTAGAGCGACGTGGTGTGCGAGGATGCACATGTCTGAGATAGAGTACGAACTGTTGTTACCCGCTTGATAAAGTTCCTCCTATTACTATTGCCCTACCAATTACTAGAGCGTAGTATGGGATGCTGGCTAGGAGTGTCCAGTAAGTATTTGCTTTTGCTTTTACTGGGTGCAGCATATCACTTCGTATCATGTTTGTGGGATGGTGACTTATACAACTCATGAGTTGTGCTTCCGTAGTTTATGGTTTTCTTGACACCGATTCCTGGAGGGTTCAAGCTGTCAATAGCACGTTATCTACATCACTAGACTGTTTGCCCTTGGTAGTATTTGGGATACTGGTCCCTGTTTATGACGTTGCTGACGGACCACCGATGACGATCTTTCCCCAGTGCTTAGGACCCATACCAGCCAGCATGGTCGGTGAGTTCAAATCAATCGGCTTTCCGATGTTAAGACTGGGGATATCTTCCTTGTCCAAGTGTTGTATTAGCTGCTTTCATGAACCATGAGGATTGAGAGCTCTGCCTGATGATAAGAACAGTCAAGATCCACTTCAACGCACCTAGTTACTTCACTAATTACGTTTTCTTTATGGATGTTTCGCTGCGAATTCGAGATAAAGTTGGTCTTTCCTTCAGACGCTGGTGTTGATCGTCTTCCGATGGTTCTTTGTAAAGGTGACCTATAAGTTATAAGTAGGAGATCGCAGAACTCGATACGTTGGGCTAGGGAGAATTAACTAATCTGGAATCGGTTCATTGATTCATCACTTAAGAATCTGCAAGGTAGCATTCCAATTCCGAAGCAAAGACTTCGTCATGCCAGGTGAATTAGTATGCAAATGGAGCAGTGATTTATGGTGAAGTAAGAAATCAATCGTGATAACATGGACATGTGTCAACGTGTTAGCAATGTTACAGTTTGGATGTCGTCTCGAGTGGGAATAGTCTTGGTGTTCCCTCGAACTAATTGATAACCCGTTGGTGGTAACGATTTAAGGTCGATTTCCGCTTTCCAATCGGATCCGCGCATTGGCGCTCGTCAGACTGGTTGGATTAAGAGGCATCGCCATGCGCTTGAGAGTTACAGTTATGGCATTATCCTCTGGTACGTTACACAACGCCGCGACGATTGCATACTAATTCACCTAGCCTGAGGAAAACTTTTGTCAAAAGTGAATACTTACCCAACCAATACCACAATTAATTGTTTCAAAATCTCTCCGAAGTAATTAAACGGTTTCCAAACGGCATATTGGGAATGGAAGTTAACAGTACAAATGAGGTGCATATGAACGGAGAGGTGTAACTACTCACTTGAAGTGGGCTTCTGTGCGACTGCCTTGCTTTCCGGTGCAAACGTGCAAGTCGCTGTGATTGTCATAATGCCTCTCGGAGTCAGGTACTATGGCAACCGTCCCGGTACATTTGGCCAACACTTGGCGTACGGAAGTTTTCTAGCAATGTGAACTTTTCTCTCATGAAAAACACCCAACACCGTACAACATCTTACTCTAGGTTGTGCTTAGTGCAGCTGCATCCACTGCGTAAGCTGCGTCCATATAATGTAGTTAGAAAGCACTGGGGAATATGGCAATTTAGTGTTACCTGTCCGAAAACACTGCACTCCAAGACGCATTTCCACTATCTTTGCTCTCATCAGGTTGCTAGCAGATCGCGAACCTGTGACCATTGGGATATTAGTTGGGACCTCTAGCCTTCTAGCCTCCGGGTCCCGACGGACCAATCTTGTCATAGCAACTTATGACTGATTGGAGGGTCATTCGGAAGTACGTGTTGTGTGAATTGATCGTGAAGCGCAATCTCGATCAGGAGGGTGATTCGCAATTAAGTGAATCTTAGTCAATTCGACCATCGGTTAACAGTCAATGTCCTTCTGCGTCATCAGTTTTTTGTTCTGGTGATCAAATTGACCAAGAAGTACTTCAATGCGAATCACGGTCCACCTTGATATTATTCGTCGCAATCCAATCGCACAATGATTATTTCGAAATAATCCTCCAATCGGACTATTACTGAGCATTAGAAAGCAATTTTGTGTACGAATTTCATTGCCTTTACGCAAACTGAACTGCGATGCACTTTGGAGTGAACAGTAATCAGTTTACATCCGAGAGGAAACGTAAGGCAAACAATCGTTTTAGATTCCTTCCTCGTCAGGCATATTACAGAAACATACTTATCAGTATACGGTATACGGACACACTATTGATTAGGTAAAATTTAACTTAAACAGTTCTCGCGATGTGCGTCATATGGTGAGGTGATTGGCGACACGTGGGATTGATTGGCGGGAGCCAGTTCCTCTCGTGTGGTTGAGGGCCATGGAACTTACAATGCTTTGTTACGACTGTATGAGGAGCGAAAAAAATGAAAAGTTGCAATCGTCCGCAATACTGTACCCCACCAAGGCCCTTGCCATTTTCCGAAAGAACAGAAAATGTGGGACAAGAGGCAGTAGATCGTAGTGTTTGGAGTAAGCGATTAGTGATCCAAATAAGCATTAAACTACCTCACGCTTCAAATTTGAGGGAGCTTGTAGCGAATCAAACTATCACTTCTCAAACTTAATGTCAGGCTTTTGACCTGTGGACCAACAATCCGTACGTCCAGCGTTAGATCGTCAGCGCGTTTATCTCTACAGGCGGTATTCAAAAAGCCAGGATGCTCGGGAGTAAATGCCATATTTGCGACGAAATATTCGTTCCCACGTATCTGCTAGTTGCGAGGAATAAAACTGCCTATTAATTGATGAAAACCAGATGATACCAACAAGAGAATACTTTCTAAACTGACGTGAGCGTGGCTGGTAGAAGCTTAACACGATCGATGTCCAGGAATCAAACAGCTTCCCCCAAGTGGTAATCATTTATGGCATTTTTGATCCATGCTATACCCACGTGAAAACTTAATATCTGAGAAGTCAAATCGGATTGTAGCATGGTGGCTCATTTCCGTAAACTTCATACTTAGATCGGTTAGAGATAAAATGATTAAATTAATCCATCTGTAACTAATACAAGCTTCGCGAATGTCGTCTGGGTGCATAAGAAAACAAAAGAAATCAACCACAGTGGGAATCATTAAAGGCTCTTTAGCGTTGTAATGAAATAGTATAGAACCAAATTGCTTACAGCATTGCAATTTGGGGAAACAGCGAATTTTCTATTCATAGTAAACGGATTTACAGTTGCTGAATACTTACGAATAGGTTTTTCTTCGTTGCGCTTCCGCACGTTAACCCTTAGTTTGTTAGCTGACTAGCGCTTTCAAGCTTGCGACATTTGCAGTATGCGACCGGTCGGGATTCCAAGTTTTTTAATGTTTCATAAACAGAGCAGTTGGAGTAGACTGGTGGATTTGCAATGAAAAACAGATTAGTGTAGGTGGCTGGATATCGCTATCCAACCCACCTAGTAAGAAGGAACTCAGAGGGACAATTGTTAAGTGCTTGCGCATAAGCCAACATGAAGGTGTAACCGAATAGCCTAGAGCAAGCACACGCGGACATGGGCGTCCCAGTCTAGGTCACACTAGCAGGTAAAGAGGAGGGGTTGGTGGTGTAGTTAAAACAACATGAGCCAAGGTTTCCTCAAAATCCAGGTGCGTCTTGGCAAGTAACTCAAACTATGGTCGTCACATGCACCCATTACACGGTTGATTAGCTTGGAAGCAATGGAAAACATATTTTTCTTTGGAGAAAGAAGCTGTTCTGTTGAGGAGTCAGGTTACAATTTTCAAATGCAGCGTTTGGTGGTATTCACTTAGGTTGCGCTCTTATCTGGTTCACTCGTCCTTTACACATGTCGTGCCAATTAAACGGATCAGTTTTAATCATGAACAACTTTTTGCATATCATATAATAAGATAATATGCTCTTGTTTATCGACCGAAACCCATCTCGGTCTACTGTACCAGAAAACTGCAGAAATTCGTGAATTCAAAAACAAGAACACGCTTCGGAAATAACCAGTGGATAGTGACCCTTACAGTACATTAAATTAAAAATGAGTTTGGCCCATGCGTCATCGTTTTACATAACCTTATACGCGGGGAGCCCTTAATAATGGCATACGCTGGATTATCCTGGTTGTTGGGGCACCACCATCATGGATAACCATTGATTCAATTCCCATGGATATCTTTCCGGACCTGATTGAAGTTGGCAACGAACCCGACAGTTAAAGCACACGAAACCTTCGATTTTCCCTGATTTTGCACGCATTAAAATATCCCGAATCAAGGTTGGTAGTGAACGTAATTTCGTTCTCATCCTTCAGCGGTGGGTCGAATATCTACGCCACGTCCACCGTTAGCGACAACAGTTGACATTCAGGCCGTGAGGCCAGCTCTCGTCGACTACTAGCAAAGTTTGCAATCTGAGAAATGATAGCGTTGGGATTTATCAGTACTGTCTTTGGCCCAATTGTTTGTTTACAAAGCTTACCAACAGGCTGAACTATTCACTCTATCAGAAAATCGTAATTTCAAATTTTCGGTATTTACGACATCCTTCCGTCTTGGTCTAACAGTTGTGAATTGTCGACACCCCGTACAAATTTATGGAAGCAGTCCTATATGTTCCCGTAATTAGTACAGTCGAGAAGAAGCACTGCTTCGTTTTATCTACTCTTCCGGTACCGCTTAAAAGTCCACCAAATAATTATAAACGAAAATGTATTAACATGTAAACCTAGGAGCTTTCTCATTACATTCTGCACCCTATGAAACGCGAACTTTTCAGAATCTTCTCGACAAGCTGCAAGGTATCAAAGTGAATATTCTTCAGCCATTTATATCAAAAACGGAAGCACTGGTGCAACCGTCACCCGATTATCAGTTCGATGCCAATACGCTGGCTGCAATCAAACCAAAAGTGGGTCAATCTGCCTGTTTGCAATCTTTACTGGTTTCAAAATTTTTCATTTTAACTGTTGGTGTTGGAGATGAGCAACCTGATTCTCTATATTTTCCTTGCACATTTTTCCATTTTATCTGCTCTATGACTACAGGCTATTAGATGTAATACCATACATCACATGACTAGCATGATACTGCTACTCGACGTTCGACGAACGCTAATATTTGCTAAATACTGAA